AATTCATGCACTTAAAATTCCTCAACGTTTCAGCTTCTTATGCCTACATATAGGGTGTCATTCTCCTTATTTAGGAAAGCCATTTAATAAGCTTCTATTTCGGAGAGAGGAGAGAGAGAAAGATGGAGAGAGAATATAATTGAGTAAGAAGTGAAGTCAAAAGTATTTGGAAGAAGATTCAAGTCTTGGTGATTCAATATTTAAGGTAAGAAAATATTTAATTTAATTATTTATTTCTATATAATTTTAGGTAGAACCGAGTTTGAAATTTCATGATTTAGGATTGATTATGTAAAAAATTATATTTTAGTATTAATATCTTAAATTTTTATTAGAATATTTGATTATTAAGCGTATTTAAATAAGAATTGAAAATGTTATATTAAAATTTAATAATATTAGATTATATGAATATAATTAGAAGAGAATTGAATAAATTATAGTAGAGTTGATGATTTAATTAGGATTTTTAATTTAAAAGAAATTACAAAAAAAGAATAGGAATCAATAAAAAATTAAATGATTAGAGATAAAATAATAATATTGAATTTCTTATGTTATAAGGTGTGTATTTTTAAGGTTTGAATCAAGTCGATGTATCGATTTTTAGAAAATGGTTACGATAAACAATGGTCTTAAGCGAATCAAGTAAGTGTAACTCGCCTACACCATGGATATAAAATGCTATGTGTTTTTATGTGATTGATTTGATGTGATGTGATGATCTTGAGGTGCATTCATACCTATGCATATGTTTTATATGTTGATTAAAAAAATATATTTTAAGTAAACAAATGAGGTTTTTTTTTTTATTGTATATTGAGATTTAAAGGTTGAGGTTGCCTATCGAGGCATAAACATTGAGGTTTAAAGGTTAAGGTTTGACTATTAAATGATGTGATTAATGTTTTTATGAATATTTTTATTGAGGCTAGACCACCGCTAATCGGTGCTAGTATCTTATAGCGGGCCTAAATGAGGAAAAGAATTTTAAAAGACCGGATTTTATAGTAGACGATGATGGGGTGATGAGGTATCAATGTAGGTTATGTGTGTCGAAGGATAAGGATTTGAGAGAAACAATTCGATTGAGGTGTATTCTACTAATTATTCGGTGTATTCGATGGTACCAAGATGTATCGAGATTTGAAGCCGGTGTATTGGTGGAGAGGAAAGGAGAAGGATGTAGCAAATCATGTAGCTAGATGCTTGATCCGTCAACAAGTAAAGGTTGAGCATCGGAGACCATCGGGTTTCTTACAACCTTTGGCAATACCTAAATGGATGTGTGGGAGCATATAACTATGGATTTTGTTATAGGATTATTGAGGTCGGAAAAGGGATTTAATGCCATCCGGGTTATTGTAGATAGATTAATAAAGTCGACTCATTTTCTACTAGTGAAAACAACTTTCAACCTAACCCAATATACAAAATTATATATGAGAGAGATAATAAGGTTACATGGAGTATCCGTATCAATTATATCTCATAGCGATCTAAGGTTCACATCGAATTTTTAGAAGGGTTTGCATAAGGTAATGGGTATTAGGCTAAATTTTAGTACTCGCTTTTCACCCCCAAAGTGATGGACAATCAAATAGAATGATACATGTACTAAAAGACATGTTAAGGGCTTATGTACTTGATCGGTAAGGTAAATGAAAAAAATATCTACCACTCGGTAGAATTTACTTATAATAATAGTTACTAGGCAGGTATGAGAATGCCGTCTTATGAGGCACTCGTATGGGAGGAGGTGTAGATCATTAGTTCATTGGGATGAGATCGATGAGAGGAAGTTGTTAAGATCGAGAGATAGTTCAACAAACAAATGAGATGATAGAGAAGATAAGGTTAAGAATACAAATAGCTTAGAGTAGGTAGAAAAATTATATCGATCGGAGGAGAAAAGATTTAGAGTTTGAAGTGGGTGACAAGGTGTTTCTTAAGGTAGCGCCGATGAAGGGTGTGATGTAGATTGGGAATAAGGGAAAATTGAGTCCTAAATACATTGGACCTTATGAGATTCTTGATATGGTAGGTAATCAAGCATATAGATTGGCTCTCCCTCCATCTCTATCAAGAGTCCATAATGTCTTTTATATATCAATGTTAAAAAAAATGTGATTGACCCAAATCATATATTGATGGCGAAACCGATGAGTTAACTTCGGGTTTGACATATGAAGAGAGACCAGTACGGATATTAGATCAAGAGGTAAAGAAGTTGAGAAAAAGGAAGTGGTATTAGTGAAAGTGTTGTGGAGAAATCACGAGATTAGAGAGGCCACATGGGAACAAGAAGAAGAGATAAAGGCAAGATATCCTAAATTGTACGGTATGTAAATTTCGAAGATAAAATTTTTATAAGGAGGGAGGGTTGTAATACTCAAACATTTTGCATGATAATATATTGTGTGTATATGTGTGCAAATGTGCTTTATTTATGTATGTAATTTAATATTTTTTATGTGTTAGATGATGTGATGATTAGGTATAGAGTTTTAGAATATAATATATATATTTTTAGGTATTATAGATAGTATTTTTATATAGATAGGAATTAATCCTACAATCTTAGCCTAAGCTATTAGGAATTAAAGGATTAAAATAGTAATAATAATTAATAATTAATAATGAAATAATAATAAGTTTTACTAGCTTTTAAAGGGAATGTTAGTAGCTATGAAAAAAGAACAAAAGTTTTAAAACATATGTTAAAATTAAAGAGGAGACATGAATGGCCATAAAAGAAAAGAAAGTGGCCATAAAAGAAGAAGGTTAGTGGCCATGAAAGAAAGTGGCCATAAAAGAAGAAGGTTAGTAGTCATGAAAGAAAAGAAAGTGGCCATGAAAGAAAGCCACTTAGTGGCCATAAAAGAAGAAAGTTATTGGTTTTTTATTATTTTTAATTCATGCACTTAAAATTCTCAAATATTTCAACTTCCCATGCCTATATATAGGGTGTCATTCTCCTTATTTAGGAAAGCCATTTCATAAGCTTTCATTTCAAAAAGAGAGAGAGAGAGAGAGAGAGAGAACATAATTGAGTAAGAAGTGAAGTCAAATGTATTTGGAAGAAGATTTAAATCTTGATGATTCAATATTTAAGGTAAGAAAATATTTAATTTAATTATTTATTTCTATATGATTTTAGGTAGAATTGAGTTTGAAATTTCATGATTTAGGATTGATTATGTAAAAAAATTATATTTTAGTATTAAAATCTTAAATTTTTATTAGAATATTTGATGATTAAGTGTATTTAAATAAGAATTGAAAAGGTTAAGTTAAAATTTAATAACATTATATTATATGAATATAATTAGAAGAGAATTGAATAAATTAGAGTAGAGTTGATGATTTAATTAGGATTTTTAATTTAAAAGAAATTACAAGAAAAGAATAGGAATTAATAAAAATTAAATGATTAGAAATAAAATAATAATATTGATTTTTTTATGTTATAAGGTGTGTATGTTCAAGGTTTGAATAAAGCGAGGTATCGATTTTAGAGAAAGGTTACGATAAACGAGTGGTCTTAAGCGAATCAAGTAAGTGCAACTCGCTTACACCATGGATGTAAATGCTATGTGTTTTTATGTGATGTGATGATCTTGAGGTGCATTCATCCGCATGCAAATATTTTACATGTTGATTAAAAGAAAATATTTTAAGTAAACAAATGAAGTTATTTTTTTAATGCATATTGAGGTTTAAAGGTTGATGTTACCTATCGATACATAAACGTTGATGTTTAAAGGTTAGGCTTTGACTATTAAATGATGAGGTTAATGTTTTTATGCATGTTTTTATTGAGGCTAGACCCTATTAATCAATGTTAGTATCTTCTAGTGGGCCCAAATGAGAAAAAGAATTTTAAAGACATTTATGTACAAAGAGTTTTAATGTAAAATCATGCATGTTATACTTATTGAGATATTTGTATCTCATGTCCATTCTATGGAGTAGGTAATGATGCAAATGTTGAGGATGTTGATGTTGCTTTCGGTAACCGGTGACTCATATGCCTTCCTTTTCGTGTTCCTAACGATTAGGTTTGTTTTAAATGAATATTTATTTTTAAAATAATAAGGGTAATGATGTTAAACTTATGAATGCTAGAAATTTTTACTTAGAATTTGAGTATGAATATTGAGACAAGATTGTTAGAAATGTTAATTATGATGAGATATGTTTTATAAATGATGAAATTTTAGAATAATGTTTCCGCTATGTTAATGAGAATATCTTATGGTTATATATCATTGATGTCATATTTTAAATTGATATATTTAAAGATAAATAAGATTAAATTAAGAACTTAATTTTAAGAAAATAAAAAGCATACGAGTTTTAGTATCGACCCGTTCGATTGTAATCATACAAGTAAGGTGTCTCGATTGACGGGCATTACATTTTTAATGCTAAGTGTTAGTTTCGATCATAAAACAATCAAAAGGACTACATTAAAGAAAAAAATAAAGAATCAAAGAGCTTATAGTCCAATCGTAGTAGTCTCTTATAATAAAAAGTTATGAATTCAAATTCTAGTAAATTAGTTTTGCTAAGAGATGAGTTTGAAAAAAAAAAGAATAAAGTGGGATTAAATAAGAAAAAAATTAGAAGAACAGTGGAACGTTACATTGCAGTTAAACCGACACACATATAGATGCGTCAATGGAAATTCCCTTTTTATCATCCGAACATTCTTTTCAGGTCCAAACCAAAGCAAAAGCAACAGCTAGAGTCCTACAGCCGCAGCATTACCCAACTACTGCTGCGCATCCTAATTTTAAACGCACCGATTTTCCCACAGTTCAAATCAGCCACACGCGGACTGAGAAAAGCACCTTCTATTCTATCATTTCCCGGTCTCTGTTAGGGTTTACCATTTTTCTCTCTAAATTTTCTTTCTCCACAAAGCTATGTCATGATCTAATTGAATTTTCCAAGCCCTAACAAAAATCATCACCATTTAAAACCTTAAAAAAAAAATGTCAACAACTCTCCCTCCCATGGAGTGTTTATACGTAACTGAAGAATTTCTTCGCGAATTAAAGAGCGGAAACCCTAGCTTCCGTCTCCCTCACCCTGTACCTATTCTTCGATTTCTCTACGAGCTCTCCTGGACCTTGGTACTGCTATTACCTACTTGCTTTCCAATATAACTTTTTTTTTTTCATTTATAATTGAAGAATGATTTTATTGTATTTTATTTGTATTAATTGATTCTTTTAGGTTCGAGGAGAATTGCCGTTTCAAAAGTGCAAAGCGGCTTTGGATGCTGTTGAATTTGTTGATAAAGTGTCTGCTGTAGGGTTGGGTTCGAATTTCGCTGATATTATTACTCAAATGGCTCAAGATGTTAGTCTTTTTTTTGGTTCCTCTGCTTTAATTGTCGAATATATCAGTGTTATCATGAATTTGAATTATTTTTTAAAGTAAGATAGATTAAAAAAGATTACTGCTTGAATAAACCTAGGTCTAGATTTCTGTTCTTCTTTTAATAATTTTTATTTATATCAGATGTTGGATATTGTTATTTTATGTGGATGACCTGAAATACAAACTTCGAGGGGTTTTTATATTGAAATCCCGAAAGATAGATGAGTACACATGGGAATGGGAGATAAAATTTGTAAGGGGGAAGAATTTGTATCTCAGTAACCACAAGATTGGTGGCATTGTATTGCTGTCTTCAACAAAGTAACGACTATCATTATTTGATATGCTATATTGTATTGCTTAATTATCACTCTGGTATTGGGAATCTAATTTTTGGATGTGTTATTATCTGAGGTAATCAACGAGTTTTTTGTAAACTCATGCGGTTGACTGATTTTGCAGCTTACAATATCTGGAGAGTACCGTACTCGTCTCATAAAGTTGGTTAGTATTGGTAACTTTTAAGGGCTTTGTGTGTTTGATGATCGTATTTCTTTCTGTTTTTGTTGTGTGGAAATAACTGCTCTTTGGTGCAATCAATATTCTATTTTAATGTTTCCAATTATTTGTGATATCCTTGTGAATCTCACTGTGATTAATGCAGGATGTGCTCTCTAATTTTGTGTTCACTTTATCATCTCAACCTTTGTATTTCTTGTTTGAAAACCTCCAAATTTAGTTTGACTACATATGTGAACTTGCACTGCCAAATGTTTCCCACAGGCATGCTAGTGATGCTTGTTTATCCCCCCTCTTATTCTAAAGCATTTTCGGCTATATACTAATAGCATGGCATGCTATGATGTGTATTTAACCACCAGTTCTTGCCCGTGCTTCACATCTTGTTCTAGATGGAATATACATTAGAATATTTAAGTAGACATAAGTGTTGGCTCATATGTCCTTTTTTCATCAAGTATTATGCCTTGGGGCTTGGATGGTGGTGCATTTTCCATTTAGTTTCATTTATGAGTTGAGTAATTTGTTTGTCTAGTCTCTTCTGTTTGTTCAGAGTCCATGTGGCAATTATTTGTTAAAATGCTCAGTGTTCATGTGGAATTTATTTGGTAACATAAAAATGCATTATACCTTCACTCAGCCCTGAATTATTTGTTAAAGTGTCGGATAGCCCACATCTTCTTCATTGTTTTATATTTGTCTCTCCATGCTTTTTCTCCGTTTGAGTGTTACTATGCAGTTATTGTTCCATATAAAGTCCTTTTCTTCTTTTCAGGCAAAGTGGCTGGTTGAATCTGCATTGGTCCCATTGAGGTTTTTCCAAGAGCGTTGTGAGGTGGATTTTTTGTTTGTTTAAAATGTTTTTGCTGTTCATAATTTCATAATGCTTGTTTGTTCTTTCAATTTTTTACCTTTTTTTTCTAAAAAAAAGGTTTAAAATATTTGTTTTCTCCTTGCAGGAGGAATTTTTGTGGGAAGCTGAAATGATAAAGATAAAGGCTCAAGACTTGAAGGGCAAAGAGGTAAAATAGATTAAAATGTTCACACACACAAAACTTTGGTTTTGAATTTGGAGCTATTACTACCATTAACTTTGGGTATATCTAGCGATGAATTTTCAGTAATTTTAATTCTCTGTATGTTCTCTGGACTTTGTTTCGGAGCACCTGACTTAATCACTGAATTTTGATTAGCATATACTGTATTGCATCTCTTGTAGAGCAAGAAATTATGTCAATGTTTAGATGAATTAATTGATCTTGCATTCATTCAAGTGAAATTTGAGAAAAACATGGTGGTTCTGCTTGTGCAGCTGATATAGCAAGATCTGCAACCAGTTAAATTATTTTTTTCTTTTGACCTTGATATTCACTTGCAGCAATTTACATTATAGTTCCACGAGACTACTGTATTCTGCATGGAATTGATATCTTTTTCTATTGCTTTCAGGTCAGGGTAAACACTCGTCTTTTGTATCAGCAAACAAAATTTAACCTTCTCCGCGAAGAGAGTGAAGGCTACGCCAAACTGGTATGCTAAATATTTGATTCTTTCTTTGCTCTTCACAAAATTTTCAAGTCAATTTGTTGATCACCCTTTTACAAATGCATGCCAGTGGAGGGGACATTTTTTTTTGTAATTAGTTACATCACTACATGATATTTTTTGGTTGATTCTTCTCTCATCATATAAAATATCGGAGACTTTCAAGAAGAGGTTTGCTTTCTTAAGTTCCTAATCGTATACTTATATTGGGAAGTATATTATCACTTCAAACTAATAGATTTTCTTCACAATGCACATGTGCTCTAAAACTGTTATGCTCTTAGGTTCTCGTATAACTGTATTCTTATAGTTGCTCTATTTTTCTGATAACCAAATGATTTGCTTGCACGAAAACAAATTATTTTCTTACTGGCTGTAAACTGCACCCTAGAGGATTTCATTTTTGCTTACAGTATCTGATGATGACAGTTTCAGTATGTCATCTTGGAATTGGAGTGATAAAGTAATTGCAACTTGGTAATTTGGACGGTCTAGATTGTGCATTGAAAACAGTGAAGTACCATGTTTGCACAAAAGTTGTACTAGTGAAGAATGGTCAAAATATGGTTGTTGTAGTTAAGATGAAAGAAATATTTACAGGCTCTATGTTTTTTCTTGATAAAAACTATGCTATTAAGAGAGAGCATGGTTACAAAGGAGAATAAGTCATTGTCTGAGAAATAATGAAGGGAAAAAAAAGGATTAGAAAAATAACATTTGCCATTCTTTTGAAGATCGGCAAAAAAAAAAAAAAAAAAAAAAAAAATCTTCTGCTAATGTATCCATTTACATGCTAGGGATGTTTTCTGGCAAAAAAGTGCCTTTTTTTCCTTGTGTTTCACCATTTATGTTTGTTTTACATTGAAACATTTCTCAAGATGTGTGTGTGTGTGTGTGTGTTTGCGTGCATCCACATATATTTATAGGTATCTGAAATTATCGTGTAGCCTATGATCACTTGCATAAATATTTGCATTAATAGCATCCAGTGTTACATGGTTAGTGTTGAAACTTGAGTTTGGGCCTATGAAACCTAGGTGCAGGGGTAGCTGATTCAACCAGTCCTAGCTTAAGTTTTGGTCCTTATTATGTTTCAGGCAATTAGCTGCAACCAATCAGCTATCTTTTCCATATTGTGCCTGTCATTGATACATTGCAGAAAACCCAATGCAGATGATCTTTAGGGCAATGGATCTTAATTTTCCGTTCTACCCCCTGCACGGGGATTTGTCTGCACTTTTTATGTACTTGATATTTTTTGCGTTGGGGGGGTGTTATTTTCTTGGCTTCTCTCTTATCTAATAAATGTTTGGAACATTTACTTGGACTATATGGATATATTGTTTCATTAAATTATTTTTGTAAAACTAAATGGGTTGTCCCTTCCCTCCTTTTCTGATAAAGAAAATGAAAATTATTACAAAAGTAGATGCCTGTAATGCTGCATCCCCAATCAGACTACTCTATACAATAGGTTTTTTTTTTATACATTGTTTTCTTTCTGGTTTTGGCCAGGTTTGCATGATTTGATGCTTATTTATAATGCTTTTCTTGGTAATACTAAGAATTAGAGTTTTATATCAAGTGGAAGTCTGGAAGGTGCAAATTTAGCTGAAAAGGGAGGGTATTGGGCCGGAGCTGAAATTTAAGATTAGAATTTTTTTTCTTTAACCACCTAATGATGGATATGTGCTGGGATGGCTTATCTTTTGTTTGATTGGTTTGGTTTGTTGAATTTTGTTTTTTTGTCTCCCGTCATAAAGCACATGCACTTGATGAATTATGCTTTAAATGCCAAGTATGCTCCCTGAGCTTTTGGCAAGCAGTGTTTACTTGAATTCACTCTTAATCAATGTATTTATGTATGGTATGGTCAGATAACTTTATTGGTTGATGTTGAACAATGTATAGCAAAGATAGAAGAAACAGAATTCCCTACTTGGAAGGGGAAAATTGAGCAAGAAGAAAGAAAACCCTATAGAAGAGGCCTGAAGAGTTTGAAAGAAACCCTGTAGGAGAGGGTTCAAATAAACCGAAGAAATGATTGGCAATTCTGAATCAATCATTACGTGCTGTCTTTTCTTTTTTCTACCAAGGATATGGTGTTTGTATATGCACCAAGAAACTGTCGTAACCTAAACTAGTAAGAATGAAAAGCCTAGTAAAATATTACGTTTTAGAAATAATAATAACAAAATTCAAGAAAGCTATGTAAATAATAATTGAATTCAGAATGTACTAAATTACAAACAAATGAGTAAGCTTTCTTCCTGATATCCTTTATTGGTCTAGCAGATACATTAGGGTTTCGTTATGATATTTAGTGTTTAAGTGGATCTGCAGGCTACTCTTCTCTGTCGAGGTTCTGAAGATACAACTGAAAATACGTCAGCAGCAACAATAGGCATCATTAAGGTTTTGACTTGAGCTTACATTTATTTACTTTAATTCAGTTTGGCCTGACCCTTATTTTTGTCACATTTTCTCATTAATGCTACTGCTGCAGTCATTGATTGGTCATTTTGATCTGGACCCAAATCGTGTTTTCGACATTGTAAGTTATTCCTGTTTGTACTCATGCAGCCATTTTGTTGTGCTGATGCAAATGTGATAGTCGGAGGTTAATTGTCGGATTACAATTATTTTTTGATCTTCAGGTTTTAGAGTGTTTTGAACTTCAGCCTGATAGCAATGTCTTTTTGGAATTGATTCCCATCTTTCCTAAGGTATGGAGTATTTTAGTTAAGGTTGGCTTAGAAGTCTGGACTTTAAATTATGCTTAAGTAAGAAAAAGGTTTGGGTTACTCATACTATCGATTTTGTTTTTTTTTTCAGTCGCATGCATCACAAATTCTTGGTTTTAAGTTTCAATATTATCAGCGAATGGAATTAAATAGCCATGTACCATTTGGGCTCTACAAGCTTACAGCTTTGCTGGTGAAGAAAGAGTTCATTGATCTTGATAGCATGTAAGTGGCTTGCTCAAGCTTTTTCTATAGCATAGTGACTCCTTAAGAGTTCTGTGATCATTGATGTCTTTAATACTTAATAGTTTGGAAGTTTCAAGAACTGCTACTTGTTAGAAGTTCTTTAACCGATTGTCTAAATTCCATAAATATAGTTACTTTGCTAGTTGCTGAGATGATAAACTTAACCTGTTCTTTCTCATGTGAATCGATAAATTGGAAATACCATATCTGTTTAATGTACAATGCATTGAGTGTAAGATTATAATGACCTTGCAGACAGTAATTACGAATGAGATTTGATGTTGATGCTATTTTAATAATTTTTGATTTTATTTGAAGTGTTTCCATGGTTACCAGCCAACTTCAATTCACGTTCAGTATGAAGTCAGTCCTATGTAGTAGTATTTGTTGTGGGATAGGATAGTGTTCCTTCTAGTGTAATGCCTCAGGGTGTAGATGAGCATTTCTTTTTTTAGTGGATAATCGATAGGAAATGGGTGCTCTTTTATTAAGGGGTATTTTATTTTCAATTATGAGGATTTATTTCTTACTAAGTTTCTGTGCATTTATCTCGATCTAATCATGCATCTTTCAATTATCCATCAGATACTAGACAATGGTCTTTATAGACTTGCAATACACCAACAAGGCATCCAAATTACTTAAACCAACCTTTCATTAGATATTGCTTGTAGATTTGATGTTGTGAGGGAAGGGGAAAACTGTAGAAAACAGAAACTACTGCAGAATAATGGCCAAGGTAAGATAAAATTGAAGTTGGAACAATATGATAGAGTGTAGGGTTCATAAGAAACCTCTAGAATCTGAATATGTCGATAAATGTAGCAGCCTATTTTATATTAGTTAAAGCCCTAAATCCTTGTAGGAAAAGGATTTCTAGCCTTAGTCTCCAAGTAAAACTACTTAGCCTCTCAGGAAATGCTTTAAGAAGTCACATGCTGATTACATGACCCTAGATTAATTAAGTAACCCTAATATCAGAAATCTAATAAAATAAAAAAGAAAGCTCCTCCGACAAGATTACTCAAGGTTTTCCACTTCCAAGAAGGATTCTTTAAATTTGAATGGACATAAGTGCAGTTGGGATTCCTTCATTCATTAGATTTTCTAGGTTGTTCCTAAGAGGCAACAGTGACAGATTGATTAAGGTCTGAATTGTGCCTGACAAAATGAGAGCCAAAATGTTCAAGTAGGAACTAGTTTTGCTTATCATAATTGATAAATCAACTTGAGCAGGATCACATTCATTTAACTATATTAAAACATTTGCTTAATAATTCATTCCTATTCTGATGGAAAAAAACTACTGGGATTGATCAAGTAGCTGATTTCAGCTGCAAATTTTTTGCAATTCGCTTCAGATGTTTGCTTTGAGAAAATATTATTGTGTTACATTACTTGTTTCTTCTTTATACACTGTTCCAAATTTTTTGCTGTTCTATGCCTTAGTTTGTGTCTTTATTTTGCATTTTAACAGTATTTTGTTTTATGCTTGATGTTTTATAATTTGCTTTTTTTATTTTTTATTTTGGATTGTTGTCTCTATGGTTATATGATTTTTCGTTTTATCATATGTACCAATTTAATTTGCACATCATTGCAGATATGCACATTTACTTCCTAAGGATGATGAGGCTTTTGAGCATTATAATATGTTTTCTTCCAAAAGGCTGGATGAGGTATATTGCTGTATTAATATTGTTGCTTATTATACTATTTTTCTATATCTTTCTGAGTTCAGTTTCTTTTCCCCTTTTTTATAATTTTTACCATCAAGTTTGATGTATATGCATGGTTTCATTCAGAGTATGCTTTTAATTTTTTTTATTTGTGCATGTTTGATTTGACTTTCTATGCAAATTTTGCAGGCCAACAAAATTGGAAAAATAAATCTGGCTGCTACTGGAAAGGACCTCATGGATGATGAGAAGCAAGGAGATGTGACAATAGATCTTTTTGCTTCTGTAGACATGGAAACTGAGGCAGTAGCTGAACGATACTCTGAACTTGAAAACAATCAAACTTTGGGCTTGCTAACTGGTTTCCTTTCTGTGGATGACTGGTAGGTTTAAACTGGCGAGATTCTGCTTTTTAGGAAAATATTTTCTGAGTCAACTGTAGATGGTGCTTATTTGGGGGAGAACATTTTAACCCCACAAAGAGGAAAAAACATTTTCTGCTGGACTACCGATTCTGAATATGTCTAACACCATAACCTAACCAATGCCCCCACCACTATAACCACATCACCACCACCTCACAACAACAGCAGGCCCACCCCCACCATCACCACAATCCCCCTGTACCAAACATAACTACCATTGCAACTTCTTCTTTGACACCTATACCACCAACACAACCACACCCCCACTACTATCACCACCCCCACCCTGACCACCATTTTACTACCATACTTCACAACTACCAATGGAAAATAATTCATTCTTAAAGAAATTGTTTCCCTTAATATAGTCAAACAATGTAAAATAGCTCCTTTTCCAAGATCCAGGAAAATGTTTTCAGCAAAACAAATGCACCATAAACATCCTGAATTACTCAGCTAATTCCCCCTTTGTGAAAAGTTTTTGCTTTGAATTGATTGCATTGCACCAAATTGGATACGTAACAAGCCAAATTCTAGAAATCATAGCTCAATGAGAAAGACAAAGGTACATGAACACAAAAGGTCTTCAGTAGTGTAGTAAGATTACATTTGAACTTGAAATTTGATGATGCACGAAGATCACAGGGTTGTCACCTATCTCTCCAAAGCAGTTGTCATGAAACATATTCAACAAAGTGAAAAGTAAAGCTTGAAAGATCCAATTGGCTAGGTCTTTTCCATTTGATTTCTTCTCTTCATACATGCCTATCCATGTTCACCATTGTTCCTCCACTGTTTTCTTCTTGGCTACCAGTGTCCTCTTAGTCAGTTGGCAATCACCAGCAAATGAGACCACATTACTGAATAACTTTTAATGTTCATGTACCTTTCTTTTTCTCTTTGAGGGATTTCAAGAGTTTCTCTCATTACTTGCTCTCTTTTAATCGAATCAATGTCGTATGGTGATGAGATGGATCTCCGAATGCATATCATATTTTCGTGTATTAACTTTCTCTTTTGTTACTATTTTATGGAAATAACTCTCAGCGTGTGCGGCTTTGCTATGTCTGCTCTTCTTTAACCTTGTTTGCTATTTAAAACTTACAGCATCAATTAATGTTCTTTTTTTCCCTCACTTCAGTGTAGAAAAGAATTGTTTTTCAACCTTGTTTTGATCCTTTCTTTTTATTCATTGTTTAACTATATAGGACTATTCATTTATATATTTAAGTTCAGAAATGGATGAAGTGGAAGACAACATTAGATAATATATTTTCATCCATTGCTTATATTCTCTTTTTTGATTCGAACTTTAGACCGCTTGGGCACGGACACTAGTGCCAGTTGAGCTACAAGCTCATTGTCCCATTGGTTACATGTTGCATCTACTAAGAGTTATGTTAGCTGCCCAGGTGGTGGTGGTTTTATTTTTATTTTTTGCTCTAGGTGCACGAGATGAGATTATATTATTTGGTGTTATAATTTTTAGCCTATATATATATATATATATTGTTATAATTTTTATCCATATATTATTATGAAGAACTGGAGTAGTTTTAGGAGTCTTCTTTTTGGTAAACTGTTTCCAGCTTTGATGCATTTTACCTTTTATCTTTGTAATAAATTACGATTTGGTCTTAAAAAAATCAATTTGGTCCCACTAGTTGTAGGTTCTGTAAGTTCTTCTTCTTAATTTTACTCTGCAATAATCACTGCTTTGAATGAGTGTCTTTTTATACTCCACAAGAAAAGATGACTTTTAATAAAAAATATTTGCCAACTCAAACATATGAATTCTAATTTTTTATTTCCCTGCCAGAGGAATGTGCTGGTAGAACCGTAGTTTAATTCTAATGCATAGTTTGCTTCTAAGGTATCATGCTCTTGTGGCTTCTGTTTTGCCAGGTATCATGCCCATATACTTTTCGAACGTCTCTCTCCTCTCAATCCAGTTGCACATACTCAAATATGTAGCGGCCTGTTTAGGTAAAGTTATTGTTTTGAAATTATTTTTATTGTATATCTATGGTCATTGTAAAACATGCGCACATATACATTTAATACCTTAATGTCCTTGTGAATGTGCATTAAGATCATTATGTAAATTTTTAGAATCCAATCTAAGAATTCTCTTTCTGTGTTTAGTTCTTTTTGCACCCATCGGCAGGGAAAATTTATGACCTTTTATTGTTTGTTTTTGATGTTATGTATATTCAGGCTCATTGAAAAGTCAATCTCATTGGTATATAATATCATTCGACAAACACATGTTCAAAGTTGTGGGTCTCCAGCAGTTGCTGGTATTGATGCTATGGATGTGACAAGTTCTTCAGGCCATGTCTCTTTAATTGATCTTCCCAAAGAATTTTTTCAGATGCTTGTCACAGTTGGACCTTATCTTTACCGTGATACATTATTGCTGCAGAAGGTGAATGGTTTGAGTTTTAATATTTGGTGAATTTTTTTCTTCTACATTGTATATTTATTATATATTATTTTAAGTTTCTTTTTTGTTTCTTTATGGATAGGTGTGTAGAGTGTTAAGAAGTTACTATATGTCTGCACTTGAGCTTGTGGATAATGGTGATGGAGCTCTAAATGGTGAACTTCTTATTCCTGGAAATCGAGTTCCTCGTTTGCACCTAAGGGAAGCTAGGTCAAGGGTTGAGGAAGCCCTGGGAACATGTTTACTTCCTTCTTTACAGTTGGTACCTGCCAATCCAGCAGTTGGGCAGGAGATCTGGGAAGTAATGAATCTCCTTCCATATGAGGTTGGCTTGACGTTATTACCGTGTCTTTTGATACTCCCATTTTTATATTGCGTAGGTCTGACAGATGATATGGCTAAATTACTTACTGTTTTTTCCAGGTGCGATATCGTTTATACGGTGAATGGGAAAAAGATGATGAGCGGAATCCAGTGGTTTTGGCTGCAAGGCAAACAGCCAAGGTACCATACGTATATCTTAATTTACTGTTGCAAGCTTGTTGCTTTAAGAGAATTGTGTACTCTATTTGTTGTTATTTATTGGTGTTTGTTGTATGCTATCTTTTGTTATCATGCAGTTGGATACTAGAAGAATATTGAAAAGGCTTGCAAAGGAAAATTTGAAGCAGCTGGGTAGGATGGTTGCAAAATTAGCTCATGCCAACCCAATGACTGTCCTTCGAACTATTGTTCACCAGGTGCTTTTTATTTATTTATTATATATAGAAAGTGCTACATTTGTTGTCACTGATCTGTATTCTATAATCAAATCTAACATAAAGTTATTTGCTTGAACTTTGGCTGCAGATTGAGGCATACAGGGACATGATCACTCCTGTTGTAGATGCTTTCAAGTATTTGACTCAGGTTTGAATTTTCTCTTGGTAGTGCTCTTCTTCTCCTTGAGCATTTGAAATCTAATGCCATACTTAACCATAGAAGCTTCTTGTGTTGTACCTAAGTATCTTCATCTTCTTTTACACTTCCATAATTTTTTTGCACTATAATTTTACAGTTTCATGTGATTTCTGCTGCCAAAAAAAATCCAATTTATGTTGTGATAGGATGTGATTTCCTTCTAATTATAGACAGTGAATCTAAAGTTTGAACCAGTTAATCAATTTAAGAGAATCTGAACAAGAAATCATCTGTCACTGGTTTAGCCTGTCTTCCTAGCTTTATTTGTGTATATGAAAGTAGATAGAATTTTTTGGCTTTGTCATTGATAGGTTATTATCTTGTACACTTTTTTTTTTTTTTTTGAAAGAAACCTTGCACTCTTCTCTTGAATATCTCTCAAGCTGATTGGGATGAACTAAAGTGGACATCCTATGTGTCTGTTATGACTTCCATTCTGATGAGGATTTTCTCGAAGAGTGAAAATGCTACTTTTATGTCATCAATCATAAGGGAGAAAAAAAAAGAAAATAAGAATATTACAGATATAGATGATTATTCTAATTGGTAATGCCTACAAATTTAGGAGGTTGGGAAGGTAGTTGGCCTATTAAATGAGATTTGTTCAGATGAAACTCAATGATCTACTGATGGCTTTGAAGTTGTGGACTCCTGTGAAAGGGGATAGTGATGCGATCTGAAAGCTAGAAATGGAGGAGCTTACAGCCATGCATATTTGTGATTTCTACTGAATCTACTAGAAAGATGTTTTTTGGTGAAATGAGGAGAATGGATAAATAGATGCACAGTTAATAGACTTTTTGTTTTACCTTCGGGTCTATTATAAGCTTCTAATGTCATAGACCCAAGTCTATTTCTTGCTTGTACATGGAACAAACTTCATTTTTTGTTTTCTACTCCTATCATTTGATGTGACAACGGGAATATCATTTAGTGTATACTTGTTAATCAATGTTACCTGAAACTTTGGATGATAATTGACTTCATGTACTGTTCTGCATGATACAATTATCTGGTAGAGATTGATGTGGAACTGTACTGCTTGGTTCCATGGTCTTAGTTGTTTTGGGTCATTGTCATCATTTTTCTGACTGGTGGAACTGCACTACTTGCAATGTTTAGTTACATGGTTTTAATTGTTTTGGGTCATTATCAATATTTTTCTGGCTGGAAATTACACACATACACACACGTACATTTATAGGGATTTGCTAACCTGCCTATTCTCTGGGCAGGTTAGCATCCTGTTCTCCCCCCCCCCCCTCTCTCTTTTTCATTTCGAGAATAATATTCACAGTTGATTTTGTCATAAAAATAAGGCATCCTCTTTCTCCAATTAATATTGAAGTTTCTAGGTTTCCTTTCACCGATTTTTCTACTGCAAGTTATCCATCTCTCTCTCTCTCTCTCTCTCTATATATATATATATATATATATATATACACATATATATAAAGTCCATGTTAAAGACCTTTGTTTCCTTTTATTGTGTCATTCAGAATTGGAATTTCATTGTTTCATCAATGCTGTATCAGAGTAGTTGCCAAGGCAATTCGAAAGTGAAGTTATTTACTTCCTTTCAGTAGATAGGAACACAAACATACCTGATTGAAATTGTGCTCTTAAAATTGAGCAGTAGCTTCCTCTATTTCAATGTTAATTGGAAGTAGAAGGTTGGTGATTCGGTAATTGACAAAAATGGCATGCTTTATGGTGCCAACAAAAAAATGAAAATAAAAAAGAAAAACGAAAGAGATATTGATAAAAGGAAAGGAGTTACATGATATATTCCAACAAAAAGAGGTTTTAGAAGTTGATTCTTTTGGTTTCAAAGACAACGGTAATGACATTTTGTTTTAAGGGGAAACAAAGATTTGTTTCTTGAAGAAGAGACAGAGATGGAGGAGACCTTTAGATAGGAGGGAAAGAGATTGCAGATATATTTATATATATTTTGTGACTGCATAGAAAATTGTGGAACTTAAAAGTGTTTGGTGAAAGTTACATATTTAACCTTAATTAATTAGTTTACAAATAAGAGACTTAAGGGTGTTTTTTGTCAATGGAATCATTTTTTCATTTATTATTCTTTCCTTATTATCGTATTATCATTTATTAGGATCATGAGTACAACAGATCAGATAACTGAATTCTGAATAGCAAGAGAAGAATAACCAAGAACAAAATACTAGGTTCACGAAACTAGGCAACCAGAAGTAACAAGATGAAACAATGTCAGAGTTCAGACTTTGATACCATGACAAAGCTTTTCAGAAATGCTTTTTAATTTTGTCATTTTTATGTCTAAAAAATGTGGGAACATTGTTAACCTTCCCAAACTAAATTCAACTATGGATGCATTTGGGTTTGGTATCTATGGGGCAGCCACCCAATTTGCACATTAATCTGATACAGAAAAATTGTGTTCCTGGCCATTAACCTGAACAACATGCATGCTGACAAAAAAACCTCTTTCTTATTCTAGTTGAGCCTTCCAACACTGGACAATTTGTGTATATTTGTATATGCTATTATGTAGTAATGCTTGTGCTCATTTCAATGTATCTCTTTTCCTTTGCAGCTCGAGTATGATATTTTGGAATATGTTGTGATTGAGCGGTTAGCACAAGGTGGTCGTGATAAGCTGAAAGATGATGGCCTTAATTTGTCAGACTGGCTGCAATCACTGGCTTCATTCTGGGGTCACCTGTATGTATACATTTCTTCTTTTCCAAAACACTAGTTAACATATTTATTGTGTTTTTCTACTTGTAGAATTTATGTCCCATCTGTATAAAAAATAATGTAGCATATTAACAAATATCGCTGCTTAGCAGATGAGGATTGAGTGTTTATGGTTTTTAATCTATTATAAAGGTTGCATGTCGTGCCTAACTTTGATATGCACAATTACAATTATGTGTTTGGTGTTTTCCTTTTTCAGTTTCTGGTTTTTGTATCTGCTTTTCTACTAACTTTATTTTAATATGTTTCTCATGAGTTGTACTGGAGTCATTCTGTGTTAAACCATTCTATGAAGAATTTTGGGTGTATCTTGGGATGCTTTAGTTCAGTTTCCGGGTTGCAGATTTAACTCAGCAAAAGCAGGATAACGGGAGCTGAGGTTGTTGTGGACATTGCAGATTTTCCGAGTCCCTGATTTACGAGGCTAGCTCAGTTCCAACTTGACTTGGCATTGAATAGGCATTAATTGGAGAACTCTGTGGGATTTAGAGATGAAAACAATGTAAGGTTGTCTGGATGGGAAATGATATCTAAGAGAGTCAGCAGATGAAAAATTGAAAAAAAAAAAAAGAATAGAAAGAAAAGTGAAGCGGGATAGTCCGGGTTACATTATTCGAACTGACAATTTTGTTATTTCTTTGACCTCTTTTCAAGTTCAACATAGTTGAGATTGGAGGTCAAAAAGGCCATTCTTACAGTGATCATTATTGAGATTCACCAGTGCTTCTTTCTTGGATGGTGGTTTTTTTATGAATCAACATTGGAAATTTACCATCAAACCAGGCTTTGTGCTAAGGGGGTTGGTTGATTGGTTTATTGGGATTGCATTATTCAAACTTCTCATCAATTCTATTTCTTCTTTGCTTCAAGATAAATATTCAGATAAAATTGATGAACATGACCTCTTCAAAGAAGGGCCATTTCTGACTCAGAGGTGGATTTTTCAGTGAAAGTTGCCTTTGGGATTTCTCATGCAACTTTGGAATATTGGTGTCAGTAATGACGACATTATTGGAAAGTGGTAGTGAGCTAGTGTGTTGAACCCTGAAGTAAGAAACATGGATGGGGGATATAAAATTCATTGTTTAAAGGTACTTGATGTTGAAACTCTCTTAAGTTGCAGATTGTGATTGATGGTGGAATGTATGAAATGTTTCCTGCATAGTTATGCTATTTGGCTGGTTTTCCTTGCCCGGCATCTAAATGGCTGGGCATTGGTGTTTTATTTGCTGTCCTCCTGAAGAGCTTAGGTTTAGGTATGGTCTCAAATTTGAAGGCAGTTTTGTTCTGGATATCTCAGATTCTTGTCAGATTGTGTTTCTCCTTGATGCTTCTTTCAATGAGTGTTCCAATAATATTCTACAGGAATGTGGAAGAAGTATATGTTTTGGTCGGAACTTGTTTGCTACATCATTCTGCTAATGTGAGTCCTGCAGAAGTGTATTGTTGTGTGTGTTCTGAATAAGGGGAGAGAGCGCTCCATTTTGGTTGTGGCTGCATTTGCTTGTATTGGTGATGGCATTAGTGTTCTTCAGGGTACCACAGTTTCTTCATGATTATGGATGTCATGCATAGCTAATTTGAAAGGCCTTATGTAGCGCAGAACCTTTTGAAGGTGACACTCAGAAATTTGTCTGAGTTCTAAAGCTTGCCTGGCTGTTCAGTAATACATTGAATGGGGATAGTTCACAGTCCCCAGAACTTTTACTTTTCATTTCGTTGATGATAGTGCATGCACATAAGTTGCTGGAGATCTTCAACATGCAAAGTACTTTTTAATTCTGGGTAAAGAATGTCTCATATCAACACATGCATGCTCAGGAACATTTTGTCAGGCAATTTTTGTGAAGTTCTGGGGATCAGAACTTGCAGTTTAATTTTTTTCTTTATTTTATTTTATTTACTTATTTTTTTTTCCTTTAATTTCATGTTGTCTTTGTAAAGTAACTAGGTTGGTGGGGTTTACTGACATGTCTCAGAGAAGTTTTCAGTTGCAACTTGGAGATTGGTGCCTATTCTAAATTCTGTGCTTTGCATTATCACTGGATATTTGCCAAGGACTATTGTCATAAAGTTGGAGTTGCACATACCTAAAACGCCCACTGTTGTTTTGTTTAATGCTGGATTAAACCTATTTCAGAGAGAGAGATGGTAGCGGGGAAGGTAATGTTGCTTTGGCTCTTTTTAGTAGGCCTGTAGTCTAGGTTTCAACTCAGGGAGATGCAAAATTTTTTATTTCCCGAGAGCTGCTAGAAAGGATGTGGGAATGCTAATGAAGTGTCATTGCTACCTTTGGACATCTTAACTATTGTATCGTGAAGTTTGCAGAACAAAAATCAAACCCTGGAACACTGACGACAATTCATCTATTCACGCTTGGATGCGTTTCTGTGCTTTTTTAATGATTGCTGGTTCAGGTCACTGACTGGGATCCTTATCCTCTTCAATCATCTTGACTGTGCCAAATTGGCGATTTTTTTGAGGCATTTAAGTGGTTCTCTTCATTGTTTCTTCATCGATCTTTTCTCCCATTTTATTTCCCTCCTCCTTTATAGAGGTTTTTTTTTTTATTTCTTAATCCTGTCTGAGCATTATTTTTACAATGCTCTCCACGATGTTATTGCCTCCATTATATGGCTTAAATAATCTTTTAAGAACAAAATTATTCAGGGCTACTGAAAATTTTCCATCCCATGTGCTCGTGGTCAATGCCATCCATTCTAGTTGTATGCCTTGTCCATTAATATGCATGCATACCCAAACACATCCAAATCCACAGGTTCCAAATTTGTATCTATAGAGTACCCTCAAATCGCAATTCTTTGTTCAATGTACACTTATCATTTGTATTTCAATTTTTTTTGGAATTCTGTTTAATTGACAAGGCTCATCCAAGGTGCGTATTCACTTCATTCTTCACTTTTATTCTTATCCTTGCATATATCCTATGCAATCTGCAAGTCTGAATCGTTTACCGAGTAGCACTTCATGAGTTTGGATAAGGTCTCAGCGAAGTAATTGGTGTGGCCTTGTGGGTTTGATAAATCATAAAGCTGATGAATGAAGAACTTCTGGACGGTGGATTTGATATCAATGGATATAGCTGAGATGTTTTTGCCATTGTTAAGACTGGTTTAATGATGTCATATCTATGGCCGATGCCTGGTTTGGTTCCAATCTCTTGTGAACAGAAATTTCACTACAGTCTGGAAGTTGGCAAGCTTGTTTGGGTGGTTATCTGTAGCAGACAGAGGAACTGGGGGAGGTAGGAGGCGCATGATTTGGTTCACTGTGAGATTAATCTTTAGAATTTTTGAGGTGAAGTCCGTAGAGATTTTGGTGTCAGAATCACAGAGTTTGAACTAGGGAACTAATGATGAGGTCTGTGAGATATGTTTGTGGGACAATAAGGATTTTACATAAACTCATGTATATTGTGTCCATGGTTCAATAGGAGGTCTGATTTCGGCCGTGTTGTTTTGATAATCTGCTTTTTAGTCTAAGGTTGTACGTATTTAGTGTAGGAGATTTATGTATTCACAGTAGATGTTTCGTTAATTAACCTGTGATGGTGGTTCTATTGCTGTTTCATTTTGTTCCATTCTTCATTGATGTGTGAGCCTAGGCATCTTCAGTATTCACTTCTATTATAATGTAATATTGCTTAAGTATCAAAGTTAGTGGCTGAGTTTGGCCTTTACTATATGGTGATGCGAGCCAATTAAAAGAATCCTGTTGGTCTATAATGCTCTTATCAGTTAGTTGTGTATCATATGTTTAATTTGTCTGAATGTTGACAGAACAGTGACCTGAATTATAGCAGTGCTACATAATAATCATTTTGTTAGCTATCTTGGATAATTTATATTAATAAAGCAAAGAGTAGAGATGTAATAATAAGATACGAACCAAGCAGAAAAATTACTTGGTTGCTGGTGAAGATGAGAATGCTGGTTAACCATCTGTAGCTTGTAATATCAGTATGGATAAATGGAAGATGATTGTCTTAGTTTATAATGCTCCTGTATGCTGAATGAGCCATGTCTTCAAGCTTCAAAAACACCAGGTGCAACTATCTAAGAAAATATTGAGTAGTCTCCGGTCATGAACATTAAGAAAATGAATTATGTTTGAGCATCTATACAGCGCTGTTTGCATATATTGGAATCTCCAGTCATGAACATAAAGAAAATGAACTATGTTTAAGCATGTATACAGCACTGTTTGCATATATTGCTTGATGTGTGTGTATGCAAGTGTGCATCCATTAGATGCACAAGCTTGCATGTGTCGCCAGTTATGACATCAAATCTTATATTCTCTTGCCGGGTGCTCTTCTTATCCTGTTTTTGGGTAAATAAGAGTTTGATTCTTGGTGTTTCAGAGTGCTCTAGGGTGGCTCCTTGTTAAAATTTCTATAAGCAACTTCCAAAGTTATGTGATAGTTGATTTCTCATTTTAGGAGCTTTTGAATTTATTTGAACTCCTATGATAATCTACTTATTTGAAAATAGTTTCATTAAGAAATTAGAGACCAGTTCCACTTGACTATTGCCCACAACCTCACCTATGTTTAATGAAAATCATTAAAGCCTTTCAGAATTTATAAGATGATTACTTTTGCTTGTTTCCTTATTCACGTTTTATTTGCACTTAAAATACATCAAGTTTAATTGGTTGAATTATTTTAGTTCGGGCTTTCTTGTTGAAATCACATATTTTGGTGCTTGTGTCTACTCAATATGGTCTCTTATTTATTAATTGATTTTTTTCTTTGATTTCTCTGAGTTATACAAATAATATCGTTGATAAACGTCTAACTTAATGTACAGAACTACCCCCTTTTTATTGATAACTTGAAATTGCATGAAGAGAGTTTTGTTTATTCCCAGGTGCAAGAAGTACCCATCAATGGAATTGAGAGGCCTTTTCCAGTATCTAGTGAACCAGTTGAAAAAGGGCCAGGGGATTGAACTTGTTCTTCTGCAGGTATCATTTAGATCCAGAAGTTATGAAATTTATAACTTTTAATTAGATCATCAAGTTGCCTAGTAATAGTGGAGTTTTATGATTATGTCAGGAGCTTGTTCAACAAATGGCAAATGTTCAATACACAGAAAACTTAACAGAGGAACAGTTGGATGCTATGGCAGGGAGTGAGACTCTTCGGTATCAAGCTACTTCTTTTGGAGTAACTCGAAATAACAAGGTTTCAATGCTCCCTTTAAGTGTTCCAAGTAACTGTAGCAAGTTATGTTTCAAGTAGTTGATTATTTCGATGGAGGCACATGTCTGAGTAAAATAATGGTTTAGTTTCTTCATGAATCATGTGTTTTCCTTATCACTTATATTTATTTTTAATTAAGAAAATGATCTAGCTTGTCACTAGGCACTAAAGTCAACTAGGTAAATCTTATTTACTAATGGGTATTTCATTATATACTACATACTTTTATAGTCTTTTATATCATCTGGAAACATTTATGTTTTAGACAAACAAAAGTGAATGATGTTGATCCTTGTAGTCAATCCCTCTAGTTTGTGATTAAGGAAGTTTATTCTAATATTGCACAACCAAAGTTATGTGATGTCAAAATACTCTGATGTTGTGCTAGTAGACCTTCATGTTGTGGTAGACCTTATAAATAAGAGAAAAAAGAGGGGAATAAAAGAAGAAGAAAGGAGACTAAAAGCATTTCCTGTGACCTGGTGATTTAATTAACTCAGTGGTGCCCCAAACTGTGGTGGAAAACCCAGCCCAACATGTGAAACTTACTATTTTAAGATATACTAGATAGTTTATTAAAATACAAGTTCTTTTGGAAGTGATATAGGATTTTCTTGGGTTTTGGGTACTCCATTTTTTTATGCTCGAAATATTGACAGATTCTTCAGCCACCTAAACTTGCTCAAAGAGCAAGTTATATGCTATTAGATTAAGCGAGGCATCCTATGGTTCTCCCATGGGCCTTTGCTCGCTATATGTTCCTGTAGATAGTGTACCATGCTTATGATTTAGTTTACAGTTCCTACTGTGGCAGAACTTGAGCATAGGATTGTTATTGCTAAGGATGGAAGTTTTGACTGTGTGATCCTCCTTTTCGCTTTTTCACCTCGGACATTCCCTGAGTCAATTTCTAATTTATTCTCTCTGCAGGCATTGTTCAAATCTACCAACAGGCTCCGAGACTCATTGCTTCCTAAGGATGAACCAAAGCTAGCGATCCCCCTTTTGTTGCTTATCGCTCAACATCGTTCTGTGTAAGCAGTGCAACTTTATTTCTTGTATAGTTGCTTCAAATAATAGATATTTTTCTCAAGAATATTTTCTGAACTGGAAACATGGAATTGGCCGTAGGTTGTGAGGGATGTTTATAGTTTTTTGATTTTGGTTACATTGAAATTTACCTTAATGCTTTCTTTGATCTATTGTTTTTTCATTTGAGCATGGATGATTTTGAATTTAGCCTCTTTATATGCAAATCTATTTCCATCAAGTGAAACATGTCTGAATATTCTTGTGTGCACATTCAAAATGGTTTTCCATTCCTGATTGTTTCTTTTTGTGTATAGTCATGAATGTTTATATAATTTGGTCATCTTTCTTATTTAAGACTTCTTCTTTTTTTATGTTGAAATTCTGGAGTAATTTTGCTATTTGTATTTGTAGTCCTCTTTTGGTGTCTGTCTTAGCTTTTGACATGTTTTTTGTGAGGCTGTCTTCACAGCTATGCGGTGTTTTTCTGATGTGAGAATTATTGGAAAAGTGTTTTATAACAATCATGTTTCCCCCATGAAAAAGGCCATGTTATTAACAATGAAAAATAAGAGCCACACAAAAGTTTTGGAGTTGAGTCCAGGATCCTTAATTTGAAATCTTGGTTCCTTTTTTCCAATTGTTTTTCCAATGTCCGATGCACTAAATTTCTGGTTATCGTTTTTTACCCTTTTTCTTCCCCCAAAGTCATAAACGCTTGTAATCTGTTGTAATTTGAATATTTGCATGCTGATAAGTTGGTTAAATAACTTAGCAATTAGTCATGGGATGTACCTGATGTTGGTTGCAGTGCTGACTGTTCATAATTTTTTCAGGGTTGTCATAAATGCAGATGCACCCTACATTAAAATGGTCAGTGAGCAGTTTGATAGGTGTCATGGAACTCTTCTTCAATATGTGGAATTCCTCTGTAGTGCCGTGACACCACCCTCTGCATATGCTCAGTTGATTCCCTCTCTTGATGATCTTGTCCACATGTACCACCTTGATCCTGAGGTCTCTCCTCAGCCATCTCTCTCTCTCTCTCTGCGTGTGTGTGTTTGTGTTGCTTGAGCCTAAAATTTTCTGTATTTTGTTTATTAATTTCTCCTACTGTCTGCTTTATCATTTCTACATCACCCTTCAAGAGTTGTTTGCTGTGCATTATTATTTAGTTTTCTATGACATGTATCCTTTATGTCAACATAACTTGAATCTTATATTTTTCTCTGCAATTTAGGTTGCATTTTTAATATACCGCCCAATCATGAGGTTTTTCAAGTGTGAGGGTAGTTTAGATGTTTTCTGGCCCTTGGACAACAATGAAACTGTAACTACTACAACGGCAAACCTGGAGCCTGAAGTTAGAGAATATTCTGGCAGAGTGATTCTGGATCTTGGCTTTCCGCATAAGCCTGTAATGTAATAATCTTGTCTTTTAGTTAATTTGCCTTGGTAGCATTTCTTGGCCTGTGATTCTTTTTTTATACATGTGTGTGGAATACCTGCTAAGAAATGACGATTTTGTGAAGAAAGTTGCTTTTATTGTAAAGAATTCAATCATATGCAGGTGGTCGGATCTTCTTGAGACTGTCAAAACCATGTTGCCTTCAAAAGCCTGGAATAGTCTCTCACCTGATCTCTATGCGACTTTTTGGGGACTCACACTTTATGATCTCTACGTTCCTAGAAACCGTTACGAGTGTGAAATTGCCAAGCAGCATGCTGCTCTTAAAGCTCTGGAAGAGCTTTCCGATAATTCTAGTTCAGCGATCACTAAAAGGAAGAAAGAGAAGGAAAGGATTCAAGAATCTCTCGATCGCCTGACTAGTGAGCTCCATAAACATGAAGAAAATGTTTCATCTGTTCGTAGACGACTATCTCATGAAAAGGACAAATGGCTGACTTCCTGTCCTGATACTTTGAAAATCAACATGGAGTTCCTGCAGCGCTGTATTTTTCCCCGTTGTACTTTCAGCATGCCAGATGCTGTATATTGTGCCATGTTTGTACATACACTTCATTCCCTCGGCACTCCATTTTTCAACACAGTAAACCACATCGATGTTCTGATATGTAAAACGTTACAACCTATGATATGCTGCTGTACTGAATATGAAGCAGGTAGACTTGGGAGGTTTTTGTATGAGACATTAAAGATTGCTTACTACTGGAAGGTATTGACACCTTCATGGTCACCTTTTGTTAATTAGATTTATTTTTGCTTTCACTAATTTGAGTTTGTTTTGTCAAGTATTTTTTACTAAAGTAAATTTTATATGTGCTCACTCAGGTGTGTGTTGGTTTGAATTTATTGTGTCTGATTGAATTAAGCATTTGTTTGCCTTTCCTTTTCCCTGCCTCCTAACCCAATGCTCTCCTTTTTCTCTATTGCTATGCTTTGCTGCCAGAGTGATGAATCTATATATGAACGTGAGTGTGGAAATATGCCTGGATTTGCTGTGTATTATAGATTTCCAAACAGCCAACGGGTTACATATGGTCAGTTTATCAAGGTTAGTTCTTGAGACAGAAGCTGTACATATATATTTTACTAGTTTTCTTGAGGCATAATCTGGATGACTTTGCGTAAGGTGTTAGTTCTTTATCTGTTTCTATTTTTTAATCTATCTATTGTTCTACATTCTATTCTATTCATCTTCATAATGCATCAGTTTAATTAGAAAAGAAATGATGGCTCTCTCTAGCCTTTAATGTGCTTCTCAAACTGAGCTTATTGGTCTTGCCTTTCTTAACTTCATAACTGGGTATGTGTCAAATTGGGGACAAATGTTTATGTAGATCCCCATATTGAAACTAGTTATGCTCTGGAAATCGTGAAGTCATCTTTGAGTATGCACTAGTGCTAAACTGAGGCATTAGTTGAAAATCTCGAAGGCTTTTAGCGCATAAGGTGTTGTAAATGATATTGACTCTTGTTGCAAATTCTCTTGAGAACCAGAACAAGTTCAAGCGTTAAATTAGTTTGTTGCAATTTTTTTATGAAAGCTCTCTATAGAAATTACATTATTTCCATTGATAAATTATGTTGAAGATCATTTTCTTTTTTATTCTGATCCATCTATTGCTGTCTCTTATTTATTTATTGCTAGCTTCCTCTTAAATTCTTGTGTTTTTTTTTCTTCTTTTCTATCTTTTTTTCCCTTTTATTTTCATTTTCCGTCGGCCAAGTTCAAGTTTTTGGTCAGTGTCTACTTATTTTTAAGGTACAGAGATTTTTGATTTATCCAATCATCTGTTGAAACCAGATATCATGTATTTATTTTTATACTATAATTAGGTACTGGTCATATTAGTGCCAGTTATTCATTTAGTTCTCTTTTGGTGATAGGTCCACTGGAAATGGAGTCAGAGAATGTCTCGGTTATTGATTCAGTGTCTGGAATCATCTGAGTACATGGAAATTCGAAATGCTCTTATTTTGTTGACAAAAATTTCTGGAGTTTTTCCAGTTACTAAAAGGAGTGGTATTAACCTTGAAAAACGAGTAAGAGACATCAAGAAAGATGGCCTTTATTTGTCTTAAATTACTTGTTTCAGTATCATAACTTCAGTTTTCTTCCTCCTTTTCTGCTCAGGTAACTAGAATCAAAAGTGATGAAAGGGAGGATCTCAAGGTTTTGGCCACAGGTGTTGCTGCAGCTTTGGCTGCTAGAAAGGTTGGTGGGATTCACTATTGAATTTAGCTACTCTTGCTATATGTATTTAAAAAAAATTTCTGGTCATTTGCAGCCTTCATGGGTTACTGATGAAGAATTTGGCATGGGATATCTTGAAATAAAGCCTCCATCTTCTGCTTCAAAGTCTTTATCTGGAAATGTAGCAGCGGCACAAAATAGTTCTGCCCTAAATGTTTCTCAAGGTGAATCTGCTGAGGGAAGAGCACTTGTCACTGGAAGCCTACATGTAGATCCTGGGAATTCAACCAGAGAGCAGATATCCAGAGCAAAACATGCTGATGGGAGGTCAGATAGAACAGAAAATATCTCACATGTGAAATCTGATCAAGGACATCCAAAATCAAAAGGTGGTTCATCAACCAATGGCTCAAATGCTCAGTCAGCTGTTTCCTCATCTACTGTCCCTATAGGAGCATCAAGATCAGCTGAAAATCAAAAGGGGTTGGATGACTCAGCAAATAGAACATTGGAGGATGGCACGGTCAGACTTACTCCAAAGAACTTAGCAGAGTCTGAGGTAGTAGCTAGATTGTGTTCAATATGCTATGTAGGCAGTTTTATCTAGTGTCTCAACGAGGAAATGCTAAAGAGTCATTGTTTCTCATTTACGTATTAAATAGCAGCAGTGAGAATCGTTCTTTCTAGTTCTTGTATGAGGGAGATAAAGGCTACCTTTTCTTTTAATGGTTGAAATAGACATGCAGTAGTGATTTTGCAGTTTGCAACCTGCAAAATTTAATTATTCCTTAACAGCCTTAAAGGATTTATTTTAATCTACCTTTCGTTGATGTATTTTTTCATTGTCTTTATTGGCAGGTGAAAGTTTCCACAAAGCGACCGGTTTCTAAAGCACCAAAGCAAGATGTTGTCAAAGATGACAATAAATCTGGAAAAGCTGTTGGCCGAACTCCTTCCTCTTCCACAAGTGACAAAGACATCCAGGTTCATTTATCAGAGGGCAGGCAAGGGGGCACTGCTAATGTTTCTTCTGCTCTCACATCGAATGGTGGTGCAGTTTCAGTGTCTGGAAAAGTCTCTACCATGTCTACAAGAACCTCTGATTCTTATGGTGTTGAATCAAAGCCAGATAGTGGAGGTAACAAACCTATGCTAAAAGATGAAGCAACTGAAGTTGCTGATGTGCAGAAGCCACCTTCTCGACTTGTTCATTCTCCTAGGCATGATAACTCTGTTGCTGCTTCAAAGTCTAGTGATAAGTTGCAAAAGAGAGCAAGTCCTGCTGAAGAACCTGACAGATTAAGTAAACGGCGAAAAGGGGATGTTGATTTGAGAGATTTAGAGGGTGAAGTTAAATTCTCTGAAAGAGAGCGGTCCACAGATACTCGATCTGCGGATCTTGATAAAGTGGGAAATGATGAACAGAATATATATAGAAGTGTGGATAAACCTTCGGATAGGTCAAAAGATAAAGGTAACGACAGATATGACAGGGACCATAGGGAAAGATCAGAGCGTCCTGATAAATCGCGTGGAGATGATGGTTTAGCAGACAGATCAAGAGATAAATCAATGGAAAGATATGGAAGAGAGCGTTCAGTTGAGAGAGGGCAGGATAGGGGTACTGATAGGAGTTTTGATAGACTAGCTGAAAAAGCCAAAGATGACAGAAGCAAATTACGTTACAATGATACATCTGCAGAAAAATCTCAGGTTGATGATCGTTTTCATGGGCAAAACTTGCCTCCGCCACCACCTTTACCTCCTCATATGGTTCCCCAATCAGTTACTTCTGGTAGAAGAGATGAAGATGCTGACAGAAGGTTTGGAACTACCAGACATGCTCAGAGGCTTTCTCCTAGGCATGATGAGAAAGAACGAAGACGATCAGAAGAAAATTCCTTGGTTTCACAGGATGATGCAAAACGAAGAAAAGAAGATGATGTTCGTGAGAGAAAGCGAGAAGAGCGAGAGGGGCTGTTGTTGATGAAGGTATGCATTAGCCACTGGCTCATTGATTGCATTATGATTTTTAATTAACTCATCATTCTACACTTAATAAAGGACTGATTATATATATATACGCAGAATGGACCGAGTGTGAAACAGTTGAAACTGGTTTATCATTTCTAGCATTATAATTCCATTTAATAGAGAAGACATACTTGTATATCTGACATTTGTGCTTTTGTTTTTTTTAGTTTCTTAAGAGTTGCTTGCTCTCCTTGGCTTAAATTGAATTCTAATAGAGCTGATGATTAACATCTTTTGTGATGGTAGCTTCATTTTGTTTGTCACCCACATAATTTCATTGTTGCTGTCATATGCTATTGTTCCTCCATGTTTAGGCATACCGAGTAACAATCCTTACAATGCTTTGTCACATGGACTCAAGTATGAGGACATAAAAGTGAACTGTTTTACATGTCACATTTTCACTTGCATTTCCTTTTTGTTTTATTGAACAACCTCATTGGGGCCTTGTTGATATACGATAAGTTTTCTGTTGTTGGACTCCATGGTATTCCGTGTTTGGCTCTCTAGAGCCCAACGGCTTCAGTTGTCTGTATGCTGAATGATTTCTGATTTCATCTGTAACAGTGTAACACATTCTATGTTGTTTGCATAGACGCCATATAAATTACTGGTGCACTAGATTTCTTCTTGGCATGGATCATGTTTTGTAATTTGGTGCTTGTTGGTTTGGTTGGAACTGTGACTGACCTTGACAAGCAAGAGGTTCTCCAGTTCTGCTGGGAATTTATACAATCTTGCTTCTGAGTTGTTCATTATGTGCAAATGCTTTGACATCATAAATTTACGAGTCTTGAGTCTGAAATGATTTACATTAGAAGTAGTGAACTACAATTGTCACATTTGATATAGTACCACATAAAAAAATGAAATGATATAAGGAAAGAAGGCTTGAATATCATCCAAGCTATTAAAAACAAATAGATGGGGGTCTTTTCTTTTTTCTTTTTTCTTTTTTTTTTTTTTTGTAAGAACAACTAGATGCTGTTCTTTTTTTATTCGTCTCTCTGTGCTTAGAAGAAAGATTTTTGCTTATTTCTCTGTTGTTGCTATTTGTAGGTGGAAGAGAGGGAGAGGGAGAGGGAAAGGGAGAGGGAGAGAGAGAAATCCAACCTTTTGAAGGAGGAAATGGACGCTAGTGCAGCTGCTAAGAGACGGAAACTTAAAAGAGATCATCTGCCAACAGGGGAAGCTGGTGAATATTCTCCTGTTGCCCCACCACCTCCACCCCTTGGTATGGGCATGTCACAATCATATGATGGTAGGGATAGGGGAGATCGGAAGGGGGCCATGATTCAGCGCACAGGTTACTTGGAGGAACCTCCCATGAGGATTCATGGTAAAGATGTAGCTGGCAAGATGGCCCGCCGTGACACTGATCCGTATCCTTAAAAATTCTTTCATTAGTAGTTAATAATGCTTTGGCAAATATGCATGCCATCATGTGTATATTCAATTAAAGGATCTGCAACTCAGGAAAATTGTCCACTTGCATGTTCTCTGTCTGCTGCAAATTGTAATTTGTAAATGGGTAATTTTTTCAAAAATATGCTGTACCTAGCATTTTGCTTTCACTCTTAAGCATGCATAGATTTGTTATCCTGGCTTGTGGACATGATGTCTGTTAGGCATCCAGTATTACAATGTTGTGGTTTTACTGTCTTGCTAAGCTTTTGATGCTTACTCAAGGCATGCTGCTTTACTATTTCTTTGAAGATCTTTGTGTTATGTTGCAAGTCCTTAATCAGTTTCTAGTATGTATGACCGGGAATGGGATGAGGACAAGAGGCAGAGAGCTGAACCCCCCAAGCGGAGGCATCGCAAGTAGTGGATGGGCCATAGCATGAGATGTGTTTTCTGGATGCATCAAATGGGTGTGCTTGATTGTGAGTTCCCATTCTTATTCTTTCATCCATTTAATTCTACGAGATTATAAATTGCAGAGATTTTTGCTAGTTGGTCTACAGGTTCAGGAAATGGCAAGTTGGATTCATGCCATTTTTGTATGCTATTGTAAAATCTGAGCTATGTAGTACAGTGCGACTTACTAATTCTCTCCTTAATTTAAGTGTAAAGATAAGTTTTGAGATACATCTTGCTTCCTATGGCGTGTTCATGTTTGCTGATGTATCCAATATCTTCGAAGTATGACGAGAGCTGCTGTGATAATGGTTGTCTGTTGCTTCTAAGCTTTAGCTACTGCTATAATTGGTAAAAAGGAGAATTTTTAATTTCACGAATCCTGATGGACAGGAATGAGAATGGATGATGAGAATTCCTGTCCTTTTCGTGCTATGTACAGCAATGCTCGTTAAAAGGTTCCTTTTTTTCAATTATGAGATGCAACCATAATTACAATCACTTCTCTATCCATCATTTCTCTTTGCCACCAGTTTTGAACTGTTTGTGTCTAAACGTTTGCCTGCATATTTAGAATGCCCTTTGGCTTTCTCGGTTTTGGTTTTGTTTTGTTTTTTTTTTTTTTTCAAAGCATGAAGGGGAGGGAGTAAATTATAAATTAGTCCCTCTAGTTCCAAGAAATTTGCCCTTCTTGTTTTAAAAACTAATTATTTAGTTCTTTTATTTTTTAATATTTTTGCCGCTAAATCCTTTTCAATTATTTTGATACTTTGTTTTAACAAATAGAAGTTGGAAAAAAAGAAAAGAAGAAAAGAGTAACTACTAGATGTTTGATGAGAAAATGTATATGTTTTTTGAAATAAAGTAATATTAAATTAAGTTTGGTCAATTTTTGATGGAAAGATTAAATAATTAATTTTTAAAACAAAGAATAATTAATTTATTTCTTGAAAATTAAAAAAAAAATTAATTTATAATTTACTAAGGGAGGAGATTGCATCTTGAAGACTCAAGATTGAAGTTTTTGTTGTATAATAACTAGATGGATATTTATGTTATATGTGTAGGGTTAGTAATTTTTATATGTGTAGGGTTAGTAATTTGTATGATGCAGTGTAAGCAGATAAAGATTATATTTGTTGTGTGAAATTGTTCTTTTCTTTTATAGAGCTTTGACCTTTCTTTTTTTTTCTTGGATAATTTTTTTTTTTAAGTGTTAATGAATGGTTTTTTGCAATAAGTTAACAATAGTGAAATGAAATGCTTTTAATATTACAAAACATGCATACATGGATTTACAATGGTTTTTGCATTCAATTACCATCGGTATTCACATGGCGTCTGTTGATTCAAGCATTTGGATGAGGCTGACAGGATATTTGTGTTGCTACATCGACAACATCAAAGACATGAGTCGTTATAAAGTGGTGGTTTGATGGTGCATTGTAGAGAAGGTTTCAGCCGGCTGGCAACATCTAGTATTTGTTGTGGCACTAGTTTTTTGTTGGCATACCCAAAGTTGAAGATCAATTGCTTGCATGCGTATTCAAAATGTGATATATCTGGGTTTTTGATAAGCAGTAGTTGAGCTTTAGATGTATGATCTTGAATGATGCAAATGATGTTGTATTTGTTAAAAAAAAAAAGGTGCAAAAAAGGTAGTTGAAGTTAATATAGGAGGACGAAATGTATTTCTACGTGTATTAAACAAAAAGTGATAAGAAAGTTTTAATTGTAAAGGTGGAAGTTAATTTATGAAGTTGGAAGCTCTTTATTGTGGGAGAGGATCTTTATTGAGTATGCCATGGATCGTGCACAAGTAAATGTATGTTGATTCCTAAGCTGGGCGGTGACACAATGGACATGCCGAATGCCATTATCTAGAACTTGTGTCTATATAGACTATCGAAGCTTCTATTGTGTAACAAATCTTTTTTTTTTTTTAAAAAAAAAAGAATCAATTAGTTATGTTTTTTGTATTTTTTTTTTTTTTAAGTGTGTATGCATATATACATAGGGAAAACTACATATTAAGTATATCAATTTTGAATCTTTTCTTAATCGAATACATTAATTTTTATTTTTTTCGTTTCAATATATCAATTTTTTTGAAAATGTCAATCAAGTTTTTTTGTTCAATTTTTTAGACAATGATGATATGACAGTTAACTGAGAAAACTAAATGACTATGTTGTCCTTTTTTTCTCCTCCTAAATTGTTATTATTGTTGAACTATTATTTTTTTTAATTAATAGTTAAATAATTTGAGAGGAGAAAAGAAAAAAGATAATATAGTTATTTAGTCTTCTCTTTTAACCGCCACATCATCACTTCATGGAAAATTAAACGAAAAATTTTGACGAACATTTTTTAAAAAATCGATATACTAAAATGAAAAAAATAAAAATTGATGTACTCGATTGAAAAAAGATTCAAAGTTGATGTACTTATTATGTAGTTTTTCATATATATATATATATATATTAAAACGGATAATGACATTTGAAAACCTCATTATTGTTGATCGGTGGTTAGAGCAAGTGCTCAATGGTTGATCTTTCTTTATTATGCAACATTATGTGATTGATGCCTAGAACTATCGAAATAAAGTGGGAAATTGAATGAATAAGATAGAAAAAAGAAAGACATATTCCATGATAAGTCTAAAGAGCAAAAAGAAATAATAACGACGACGCTTGTGTTAGTTTAACCTATGAGGTCATTGTTAATTATTTATGATTCGGTTATTTGTTTGTGGGCGGAGGAGGAATTGCGAGTTTTAGTGATGAGACAACTTGAGAGGTACTATATATATATATGACTTATGTTTTTTCTATTTGCAAAAGTTGCTCCACCTAACAAACACCGTAATGGCAATTTTTTCAACTATAAAATTTGATGTTGGCTTTTTTATAGAGTAGTCTAAACTCGAATGTTTGGTAAGTTATGTTTTTTATGTCCTTTTACAACAAGATGTGACATAACTAACCTAAAGAGCAAATAGGGGAAACAAATAAAGACCTATAAGTAGATCTATTTACAAAACTTGTTGTTCCACCAAAGAAATAGTGTAATTGCTTTTTTCTTTCAACCACACAAATTGTGGTTAGCTTTTTTATAGACTAGTCCAAAGCTGAATACTTGGTAAGTTTTGTTTTTTTATATCATTTCATAGCAAGAGATGACATAAATAACTTGAAGAGTAAGCGAGAGGAACCAAACATGGCATGAGTTGTTATGGCCATGCATTCAGGAAATAATTATTAGGCTTGGTGTTTTATTTAGAGTGTGTAATAAGATAGTTGTAAATGAAATGGAGAAGCAAATATGAATTGTGAAATGAACGATGAGAAATGAATTTGACGTGGGAAATAATTCAATGGATGTAAGTGGAAATGGCTAGGAAGTAGCTCGTGTTTGTAGCCTAGATGACCACCGATAAACATTTTGGATTCATATATATATCATGGAAGGGGTCGGATTAACAATAAAATGATTAACAATTTCAAGGATCAATAGAAAAAGGAACACTAATCCTAAACAAATGCATTGATGGTATCATGAGGCAAAGTATTGGATGAAAACAAATGCATAAATACACATTCCGCAACCATAAGGCAAGGTTCAAGCAATTTCATAATAGAGTTATAAAGCTAATTGAAAGTAATTCTTTAACATCGATAATGCCATGAAAAGAGGATTGTTTCAATAACTTGCTAAAGATCTATTTGTTTTCCTCAAGAGCGACCAGCTAAACATTTGTCTTTGCAAGCCAAAACAAACCCAAATAGGTGATCTAAAATGTTCTTGTCATATGGTAAACCTAGACAAGTGGTCAAAAATAAACTAATTCATTGTATACACAAAAAGGCATAAAGGATGAAAAGTGCTTGGAAGGGATGTCCGCCTATGCTATGCTCCAGCGATGATGGAGATGAAGGATAATGCATTTTATGAAGGTGCGAAATAAATAAATAAAATTTCTCTATCTAAGGGCCCAAGATCAAACCGTTGAATCTACTAACCATACATGCATGAATTTAAAACAATAAAAAAGATTACCTATTATAGCATAGATTTAAATTCTTTTATCGGAAAAGTTATCTAAGTATCCGATCTCTATTGATGATCCATGCAATCCAAGTATCCACCAAGAAGCACTTAAAATTGATAGGATGCTAGCTCCATCTTTTTCTGATTTGTGTAATGCTTCCTATTGAAAATCAATCCCGAGCAATTTTGGACAACCTTAAACGGAAAGAAAGAGTTTAGCTTGCTAGGATTTTGGAGAAAACTATTTTTTCCTATTTTTTCTCTTTTGGCCATATACCCTAGTGATTATTTAGAGCTGGCCAAAATTTCTCTTTCTCCCTCTTTTGTGTTATGTTGGTCGAATTTTCTTTCCCTTCAAAATCCTTTCTATATGGCACACTTCTCAGCCTATTCATAAGAGGAGAGTTTCCTTGTCCTCCAAGGACAAGGAGAGGGGTGGCAATGAGTTCTTTAAGGACCTTAAGTTGTTGCTTCCTTATCCTTCGAGGATTAAGAGTTATTTTACATGTAGACTTTTTTTTATCTTTATGTTTAAAACATTCATCCTTATCCAATAAGGTTGATATTTATCATCTCACCAAAATATCCGAAGGATTTTAATTAAACCTAAAGGGCCCAAACCATTCTGGCCTAATTAATTTATTTGAACTAACTAAACAAATAATCTTAGATTATTTTAGGCGAGTCCATATTAGGAAATAATTTTTTTACATACCATTTAACCTAAATTAGAAAACTCATTTTCATTTTATGTTTTTTATTTCCAAATGTGGAACCAACTTCCAAATTAGGAAACTGATTTCTAAAATAAAAAACTTTCCATTTTAGAAAACTTCTTAATTATGAAAACTTTCCATTATAGAAAACTTCTTAATTATGAAAACTTTCCATTTCGAAATCCTTTCCAAAACAGGA